AGAAGACAAAGTAAAGTATTATAAGGACATGTGCAAGGAGCTGGAGATAGAAAAGTAAAAGGGAAGAACATGCTTGGCATTTCTCAACCTGAAAGAACTGAAGAAAAAAATTCAAGCCTTGAGTTGCAATAGTGAAGAATTCTGTGGGGGAAGTATCAAAAGAAGATGAAAGGAATACACAAAGTCTTTATATAAAAAAAAAATTGGTCAACATTCAACCATTTCAAGAGGTAGCATATGATCAGGAATCAACGGTACTGAAGGAAGAAGTCCAAGCTGCACTAAAGACATTGTTGTAAGAGGGACAACATGAAGCATCTGACTATTCCACCATCTTGGCCCCGCTTCCTTGTGTGTGTGTGTTTCCTGATGGACAGAGCATTGGACTACCTATGTCACCCTCTTGCTGACCTGTGTCCCATTTCTCTCCATCCCTTTACTTTTAATACTTCTGTGTCTTTTTATGTAATGTGGATTTCTTGTAGACCAAATACTTTGTGTTTTATTTAAAGTGACTATTGATGTAGTTTTTTAATATCTACCTTACTTGTTACTGTTTATTTTTTGCAGTTTGTTTCTTTTTTGCCTTCCACCGTTTTCTTCCTTGTCCTGTTTTAATCAAGTCTTTTATGTGCTTCCATTTTCTTTCCACAAAAAGGGAGGGAAAATACAGGTATCCCCTACTTTATGAAAGTTTGCTGTATGCCACTTCACTTTTACAAAAGATCTACATTGGTATCTGTTTTCAGTAACAGAAAGAAATCTGAAGAGGATTTTCACTTTTACAAAAAAAGGCAAAAAGCAGAAATAGCCTTTCAGCATTTGTTTTGTAGCAAGCTGGTAAAGGGGCAGCATGCACCCCAAGCAGGGAGAGTAGTGTCGCCCCCACCTCCAGCTTTCCACAGCTCCCTGAGTGTGGGAAAAGGGCAGCACCGCTGGTCTCCAACCAGCCCTACCTGTCTGGTGACCCCCTCCTTTCCTCCAGCACACCCCTTCCCCACCAAGCTTCTTTTGTCAGCTCCACCTCTCTCCAGGCTCCTGGCAGGGCGTGATCCACAGTCTCCAGACTCCCAGATATCCTGGGCAGGCAAGCTGGGGGCTGGTTTCCACCCCCTCCCCCTAGAAGAGGGAGCCCGTGGTGGGGGCACCCAGAGCCAAGGCCAGTCACCCCCCTCACCCAGCATGTGCTGTCTGCTCTGCTGTCAGCCTCAGGCCTTGAATCCCAGTTGCCAGTTAAGGGTTGGGGTGTCATGGATTGAATTGTGTCCCCCCAAAATATTTGTCAGGTTGGCTAGTCCATACTACCCAGCATTGTGTGATTGTCCACCATTTTATTATATGATATGATTTTCCTGTGTGTTGTAAATCCTATCTTTATGATGTTGATAAGATGGGATTAGTGGCAGTTATGTTAATGAGGCATGACTCAATCTAGAAAACTGGATTATATCTTGAGCCAATCTTTTGAGATATAAAAGAAGTGAGCAGAGAGACAGGGTCCTTATACCACCAAGAAAGTAGCGCCAGGAGAAGAATGCATCCTTGGACCCAGGGTCCCTGCACTGAGAAGCTCCTAATCCAGGGGAAGATTGATGACAAGGGCATTCCTCCAGAGTCGACAGAGAGAGAAGGCTTTCCCCTGGAGCTGACGCCCAGAATTTGGACTTTTAGCATACCAGATTGTGAGAGAATAATCTTTTGTTTGTTAAAGCCATCAACTTGTGGTATTTCTGTTAATAGCAGCACTAGATGAATTAAGACAGGGAGGAGCAGCTGATTCTGCCCCTCCTTCCTTGCTTTTCCCACGCACTTTGCTGCCTCTACCCTCACCTCGCCCACGGTCCACCTAGCTGTGGCCAGTTCTGGGCTGTAGAGGGCGGCTCACAGTCCTTCCGGGAAGGCTGAGATGCTGGATACTCAGACGCATGAGCTGGGGAGGGCAGTAACCCAGGGGGTGGCAGCCTTAACCTGGGAAGGGGGTGCCCCTCAGGGCCTATGTGCCAGTAAGGTGATGTCTTTCTCCTGACCAAGCTCTTTCCCCGGGAACTACACTCAGCATCTCAGTTTCAAGTCGCCATAGCTTTGAACTGTGTCTTTGAACATCAGTGCTTTATTTGGATTTATTTATCATATTATTGCTGTTTTTGCTATATGTTAGTATTATTTTAGGTTTTATGTGTTATTTGGTATGATTTGGTAGGTCATTTTTTGGGTTTGGGAACACTCAAAATCTTTTCACATATAAGTTAATGGTAATTGCTTGTTTGCTTTATGCTATTTCAGCTTATGAAAGGTTTCATAGGAATGCTCTGCTTTCAGGTAGCAAGGGAAACTTTTTTTTTTTTTTTTTACTTTTTAGTGATTACAATTTTCCTTGTGTATTTATAGCTTATCCAGTCTACCTTAAACTTAAACTACGCCTCTTAACTGGCAGTGCAAATATCTTAAAACAGCATTTCCAGTTCTTCCCTCTTGTCCCTAATAGCCTTGTTTTCATTTTACTTATCTATACACTATAATCACTGAGTCTATCGTGGGTGCTATTATTTTTAACAAACTTACCTGTTAAGTAAGAATAAGAAAAGTAAAATGTTTTACCTTTTTTTTTTCCTCTTGTGCGCTTCCATTCTTTTTAGGAATCTTAAGTTTCTGACCTATATCATTTTCCTTCTCTTCTATGAAGAACTTCCCTCAACATTTCTTGCAAGACAGATATACTGGCTTCAAATTCCCACAGTATTTGTTTGAGACTGCCTATATTTTTCCTTTAATTTTAAAGGATAATTTTGCTAGATGGAGAATTCTAGGTTGGTTGTTTTCTTCTTGCAATCCTTTAGTATTTTAATTCCACTGTCGTCTTTCTTGCATGGCTTCTGAAGACAAGTCAGCAATAGTTAACCTTCCTCCTCTATACATGTGTCTTTTTTCTGTGGATTCTTTTTGATTTTCTTTCTGTGTTTGATTTTCTGCAACTTCTGGATCTATGGTTTGGGGTCTGTCATTAATTTTGTAAAATTTTCAGCCATTATTCAAATATTTAATTTATTTTCTCTAGTATTCTCATTCCTCTTGTGTTACACCTTTTGGATCACATTTTTGGATATTCTGTTCCCTTTTTTTCATTCCTTTTTCTTTGTATTTCAGTTTTACATGTTTCTATTGACCTATTTTAAAGCTCACGGCTTTTTCCTTAGCCGTGTCCAATCTATTGCTGATCTCATTAAAGGCATTTTTCATTTTTATAACAGTGTATTTTATTTCTAAGATTTCCTGTTGGTTTTTTTTTTACCATCTCTCTGCTCACATTACCCATCTCTTCTTGATGTGGTTTGCTTTTTCAATAGGAGGCCTTTTTATATGAATCGTTGTTAGGTTGTTGTTAGGTGCCATTGAGTCAGTTCTGACTCATAGTGACCCTGTGTACAACAGAACGAAACACTGCCCAATCCTGCGCCATCCTCACCATTATTGTTATGCTTGAGCCCATTGTTGCAGCTCCTGTGTCACTCCATCTTATTGAGGGTCTTCTGTTTTTGCTGACCCTTTACTTTACCATGCCTGATATCCTTCAGGGATTGGCCCCTCCTAATAACATGTCCAAAGTATGTGAGACAGTCTCACCATCCTTGCTTTTAAGGGGCATTCTGGCTGTACTTCTTCCAAGACACATTTGTTCATTCTTTTGGCAGTTCATGGTATGTACAGTATTCGCCAGCATTATAATTCAGAGGCATCAATTTTTCTTCAGTTTTCTTTATTCACTGTTCAGCTTTTGCATGCATATGAGGTGATTGAAAACACTATGGCTTTGGTCAGGCACACCTTGGTCTTCAAGGTGACATTTTTGCTTTTTAACACTTTAAAGAGGTCTTTTGCAGCAGATTTGCCCAATGCGTCCTTTGATTTCTTGACTGCTGCTTCCATGGCTGTTGATTGTGGATTCAAGTAACAATGAAATCCTCCACAGAGTCAGTCTTTTCTCTGTTTATTGTGATGTTGCTTATTGTTCCAGTTGTGAGCATTTTTGCTTTCTTTGTGTTGAGGTGTAATCCATACTGAACGCTGTGGTCTTTGATTTTCATCAGTGCTTCAGGTCCACTTTCAGCAAGCAAGGTTTTGTCAACTGCATAACACAGGTTGTTAATGAGTCTTCTTTCAATCTTGATGCCCTGTTCTTCACGTAGTCCAGCTTCTTGGTTTATTTGATCAGCATACAGATTAAATAACTATGGTGTAACAATACAACCCCGACGCACACCTTTCCTGACTTTCAACCGTATGGTATCCCCTTGTTCTGTTTGAATGCCTCTTGATCTATGTATGGGTTCCTCATGAGCACAATTAAGTGTTCTGGAATTCCCATTCTTTGCGATGTTATGTGTAATTTGTTATGATCCACGCAGTCAACAAAGTGGGGTGATATGAATCATAGTAGTATTAAGTTCTCAGTTTGTTAATTCCAAAATTTCTGCCGTATATGAGTCTGATTCTGATGTTTACTTTGTTTATTCAATAATGGGAAAAGCTGCCAGTCCCTCAGTCTTTTCCAGTAATTTAATAGCTCACCTTGTTTTTGCCCTGTGCTTCATGTTTTGTTGTGTGTTCCAGTGGTCTTTTGGAAGGAGCGAATTGAATTTTTTCCACAAAGAAATGATGATGTGAATATGGAAATAGGTCTTTCATAGAGGATTTTTTTTTCCTCCTTTTTTTTTTTTTTTGCCTGTTCTGAACCATAAATAGAGGAATAAGATCGTATAGGTCATAGTCAAACTGTGGAGAAATAAGTTTAGTGCATTCGAAATATTGTTAAATCTATGTTAGGAGGTAAATGTAGTCAGTGAAGGGACAATGCTGATGGCCAATGTCTAGAGTAGAACGTAGAACTTTGTGTGATCTCCCTATGAATTTTCAGTTCCTCAGGACCATCAGCCTCACCTATCTTTTCGCACACATTGGGGAAAATGGTACCTTGCTGATCCAGAGTATGTGTGATGTTTTAGGACTCAGTGGTCTTTGAGGATGTGACTGTGGAATTTACCCAGGAAGAATGGGCTTTACTGGATTTTTCTCAGAGAAAACTCTACACAGATGTGATGATGGATACCTTGAGGAACCTGGACTCAGGTAAGGGTGACTTCATTTTTCTTATTTACTTATTTAGTGAATAAATATATTGTACTTTATTGACTTTCTAGGATTTGGGTTGAGGAATTGGAATACATTGACGAACATGTCAAGGGTTTTCACTGCTCTCATGGTGCTTAGGCTCTAGTAGCTTCCCCATGAAAGTAAAAAATCATTAATTAAATTATCTTGTTAAAAGCCTTGAGGCTCTTTAAGTGTGAGCATTGGCTTCAGGGGTCACTTTGTGGCAAAGAGAGATTTGTGGTTTGGGACCTTGTTGGCATTTATTACAAATTAGATGCGATTATTTTGCTAAAAATAAACTCACATCTGTCCGCCTATACAGAACGTGGAGAACAAAGTATTGGTTCCGCATCAGGGAAATGTGATTGTCTATCTTCCCTCATGATCCGTCTTTCCCCATGAGCATCATGTCAACCACAGTAATTTTTCTCCCTGAGAAGCAAGGGAAACGTCTTAGGAGAGTGGACATAGGGCTTATCCAGAGCTAGTGTCAGGGAGCACTAGAAAGGCAAAAATCCTTTGAAGGGCCAGTCCTGTTGGGATGGAATTACATTTAAGTAAATAAATTGGAAATAATCTCTTTTTCTTTGAAGGTGTGAAACTTTACACATGTACCTGAGCTGACTTTTTTGCATTTTCATCAATCCTCTCATGCCTTCTTTATGGAAAAAGACCTCCCCCATCTCCTCTTTTAATGTTACCTTTATGCACATACATTGTTTGCAGTACCTTATTTTGCTTTCCTGATTACACTCTACTTATGTCATTCACTCTAAATTGTCATGGAATTATTTCCCAGTAAATTTCTTACCCTTTTGACCATTGCCATTGCCAAAGTCCTTTTGACACGTTGTCAGGAGGGACCAGCCCTTGGAGAAGGACATCATGATTGGTAAAGTAGAGGAAAGATCCTCAAAGAGATGGATTGACACAGTGGCTGCAACAATGGTCTCAAGCATAACAGTGATTATAAGGATGGCACAGGACCAGGCAGTGTTTTGTTCTGTTGTACATAGGGTTGTTATGAGTCTGAATTGACTCAACGGCACCTAGCCACACAACACATCCTGTAACAACCAGATGTCTCAAAGTCAGTCTTTCTTCACACATGCCTTTTTCCGCATAAAATTTCCTTACTGTTTTCTTTCATCTTGTGAAACTCCACTGAAAAGTATTGTTTCAGTGTTTCAACAGGATAATAATGGGCAAATGTCCACGAAGAATGACTCCTGGTCTTCCATGTTAGGAGAAATCTGTGAATTCCATGGCATTGAACATCCCCACAACAATCAGGGAAAGCACATGAGGTGAGTATTATTCACATGACAGTGAACAGTGCCTCAGGAGAGTCTTAGGGTGTCATAACGTTTGTATGTGTGTGTGTAAAAGTAGCTCTAAAATGGTGTGTTTGCATAATTTTCACAACACAGTATTTCCATAACTATGAATCAGATATTGAGTGTGTGAAACATATTTCACTTATAACTATCAGAAAGTTCCATTATTTAGAAACACTGTGACTGTAATGGTAGTATTCTCTGTGAGATGATTCAGCTTATGCAACACGAGACAACTCGGCAGAAAACGCACATTCACTGTGCATGGTAATTGTGAAATGGTAACAACTTTAATTCTAACAACATGCTTCCTGTTTTTAACAGAAAATATTCAGTAGAGAGCCTCTGGGAAAGTAAGGATGGTGAAGTAAATAAAGATGAAGAAGGTCATCACTGTAGAGAAAGTTTCAGCTGGATTGGAAATCTTACTAGGCTCAAAAGAACTACTGGAGTAAACCCTTTTGAATGCCTTGAGTGTGGAAAAGCCTTTATGGATCATTCATCATTTAAGAGTCACATCAGATCTTGCACTGGAAAAAAACCTTATCATTGTAAGGAATGTGGAGAAGACTGCACTTGTCCTTACCAAAAACCTCGTGTGAGAGAGAAAGTTTGTAAATGTAAGGATTATGGGAAGCCTTGTAGTTGTTCCTTACCCCTCACTAAACACATAAGAACCCACAGTGGAGAGAAGCTTTATGAATGTAAGGAGTGTGGGAAAGCCTTTAATTATCTTTCAAATCTCACCAGACATATAAGAACTCACAGTGAAGAGAGACCTTATAAATGTAAGGAATGTGGGAAAGCTTTTCGTTGTTCCTCATCTCTCAGTGTACATCTAAAATCTCACAGTGGAGAGAAGCCTTATGCATGTAAGGAATGTGGGAAAGCTTTTTGTCGGCCCTCAGACCTCAGTAGACATACAAGAACTCACAGTGGAGAGAAGCCTCATGAATGTAAGGAATGTGGGAAAACCTTTACTTTTTCCTCATCTCTTACTATACATATAAGATCTCACAGTGGAGAGAAGCCTTACGAATGTAAGCAATGTGGGAAAGCCTTTAGTCGGTCCTCACACCTCACTACCCATATAATAACACACAGTGAAGAGAGGCCTTATGAATGTAAAGAATGTAGGAAAGCCTTTAAGCAATTTGCACAGCTCAGTAGACATGTAAGAGTTCACGGTGGAGAGAAGCCTTATGAATGTAAGGAATGTGGGAAAGCCTTTAGTGAGTTTTCACAACTCACTAAACACGTAAGAATTCACAGTGGAGAGAAGCCTTATGAGTGTAAAGAATGTGGAAAAGCCTTTAGTCGGTCCTCGTATCTCAGTGCCCATATAATAACGCACAGTGAAGAGAGGCCTTATGAATGTAAAGAATGTGGAAAAGCCTTTAAGCAGTTTTCACGACTTACTAGACATGTAAGAGTTCACAGTGGAGAGAAGCCTTACACATGTAAGGAATGTGGGAAAGCCTTTTGTGAGCTTTCACAACTCACTAGACATGTAACAGTTCACAGTGGATACAGGCCTTATAAATGTAAGGAATGTGGAAAATCTTTTAGTCGGTTTTCATACCTTACTGGTCATATAAGAGTTCACAGTGGACACAGGCCTTATAAATGTAAAGAATGTGGGAAAGCCTTTAATCAGTCCTCACACCTCACTACCCATATGAGATCACACAGTGGAGAGAGGCCTTATAAATGTAAGGAATGTGGGAAAGCCTTTTTTCAGTCCTCACACCTCACTGACCATGTAAGAACTCACAGTGGAGAGAAGCCGTATGAATGTAAGGAATGTGAGAAAGACTTTAGTTGTTTTTCATCTTTTCGTAAACATGTTAGAACTTACCATGGACATAGGCCTTCTGATAGTAAGGAATATGGGAAAGCCTTTAGTTCTCACACCTCCCTGATCATATAAGATCTCAGTGGAGAGAACATGTGGTGCACTGAACTGCTATTACATGGCCCATCTAGCCATGGTCTTGTAATTTCCACAGAATGATTGGGTGGGAGTTTGTTTATTCACCAGTGGAAGGACATTTAAGTTTTTTCATGTTTTTATGAATAAAACAGGTATAAAACTTTAAAGCATAGTTTTTTTGTTTTGTGCTATGTGTGTGAACATAAGGTTTCATTTTTCTCTTGTATATCCCTACAAGTAGTAGTGTATCATTTGGTGGATTTTGTCTGCCTTTATTAGAAACTGTCAATCTTTTTTTTCCCTGCATTCCCTCTTTTATGCAAATAAGGTACATAGAACTCTTGTACGGGATTGCTTTTGCCATCCCACTAGGTTTAAAAAGCCAATTTCATAGATGGGTAGAGGGACCTCACTACCATCAAGAAGAAGGTCAGGTGAGGAGTGGAGAGGATCCTCTGGACCTGGGGTCCCTGCCCTGAGAACTTCCTAGACCCAGGAGCCAGAAAGAGCTTAGCATTGCAGGAAGAGCCGTGTGAGATGGCAAGAAGCAGTGCAGCTGAACCAGGAGACTGGTTCAAGATTGTGCAGTTGGCTTCCTGGCTCATGGAGTGAGTTAGCCACAGTGGGCTTGCTGACCCACAGAGAGAGCTGAGCGCCTTCAGGCAGGAGGCTTTGTGGTGGAGTGGGGTGCCTCCAGGTACTTGCTGGCAGAGGTAGGCTTGCCATCCCACTTCCCAAGAGAGCTGAGCACTTTCAGTCAGGAGGCTTCCTGGTGAAGTGGGGTTCCTCTGGGTACTGATCAGAATGGCTAAAGAGTTGTAATACTTGCCGGAGCAGGGCAAAGGCTGGCGGCAGAGACCAGACCTGAGCAGGGCCCAACAGCAGCAAGGTCCTAACCAGGGCCCAGTGGCAGATGCCAAGAAGATGCTATCCTGACCAAAGAACTGTATCCTGTTGTGTTCCTGTTACTTCCATGTTGATCCTGATCCTGAATTGCAACCTATTCCCTAATAAACTCCATCAAACGTGAGTATTGTGTATGAGTTCTGTGTGGCCATTGCAATGAATTATCAAGCCCAGCAGTGAAGTAGAGAGTGCCGTGGATGGGATGGCAGGTGTCAGAATTGGTAGGTTGGAGGTATGTTTGACCATAGGCATTAGCTTTGGGCTTTGGGCTGATAAGGATGGTGATTCTCCTCCCCCTGAAGTTAGAAGATGACTTCTAATGCCATGCCATTTTAATAGAAGCATTAGGAATGTTAAGGAATGTGAGAAAGCCTTTTGTTGGTCTTCATCCCTCACTAACCAAAAAAGAGTTTACAGTGTAGAGATGCCTTATGAATACAAGCAATGTCAGAAAGGCTTACTCCTCATACCTCACTAACCATAGACCACTTCACAATGGAAAGAGGGCTTATGGATGTGAGGAATGAGGGAAAGTCTTCAGATCTCTCAGCCTTTTGAAGTCATGAGAAGGTACACTGGAAATAAAATATGTGTGAGTAATGGAAGACTTCTACTAGTCCCTCATCTTTTAAAAAAAAAAACCTGAAAGAAAACACCTGGGGGAGGAACCATAGTGGTGTAAGGAACGTGATATGGAAAAGTTTTGCTTCTCCCTCATGTACTTTCCAAGATGTGAAGTTTCATGCATATGGGAAAGCCTTCACTACCTGTTTTAAATATGTGAGATCTCATACTTCTGAAAAATCCTGCAAGGAACATAGAAACATCTTAGAATTCTTACAAAATATGTGAAATATCACACTGTGGATTTATCCTATGAATGTAAAATATGAAGGACTCCTTCAGGGTCCCTTCTCACTTAGGACTCCTATGAGACCTCACATTCAGAGAGGCGGGGACAAGACTGCAGAGTAGTCAGACACTTCCGATGGACCCTCTTACAACAAAGACTCGAAAAAACAGGTGAATCAATTATATATGACAATATAGAAGCCCTGAACATCTAAGGCAAAGTTGAACTGGACTGAGTGGCAGGGAGAGGGAGAAACAGTTTGGAAGCAGCAAGGAGTTGCCAGACCTGACCTGGTGAGAGCCTGAGCCCTTCAGGCCTGAGCAGCTCATGGGTGAGAAGTGAGGCAGGCAAGCAGCGGTGCTCAGGAGGTGCATTTTCTGCACTGCGAGAGACCCAGTGCCAGAGAGTCTACTCGGCCATCCAGAACCAGTGAGAAGCAGCCCTGGATTGGCAAAACATAAGTACTTACAGCCTACGGCATGGATCAAAAACACCCCCCTTAGGGAAAACCTCTCTCCCATTTACCTCTCTGCTCCCTGCTCTGCCCTGGGTCCCAGACCGGCTTCAGCAATTGTCAATTCCCATTCTCCCAGCCTTGGAGAGTGAAAAAATTAAACTGGGGAAAAAATAAACTGCCGGCTCCCCTAAGGCAGGAACCCAGGGTAGGCACAGCTTCTTTGCCTAGGCACAGGCATAAGGGGTCCATGGACTTTGAGTGCTTTTCCCCCTGCAGATACTTGAGTGGGCCCATTTCAACAGTGTACGCCCTCATTACTGCAGTACAACAGGGTATATATCTGAAGGCTAACTTCAGCTGTTTTAGCTGTGAAGTGGCAGGTTCGTGCCATTTGACACTGCTCTGCCTATTAAGCAAGGTCTTCACCTACCCACATCAGGAGCCTGAGGACTGGTGGCTCCACCCACACCACCTAGCCACCTGTGATAGGGGTCCAAGAATAAGAGGTGCCCCCCAGTCCTTACAGCCAACAGCATTGGGTGCTCATAGTCCGGCTGCAAAACCCACCCATCTATGTGCTCCAGGGACAAGGATACACCTTCCTCCAGGACACTTGGTGGTGGCTATCAGCCCCCTGCCTTGCTCAGAGTGTGTTCCCCTGCTGCAGCCAGACGCCTGTGCCTACACCAATAACCACGTCTGTCTAGGGCGGTAGGTGAGAGCCTGCACCACACACTTGGTGGCTATCAACCTGGGCGCTTGAGCTGAATCCATACAGGCGAACTCCTGAGCTCATATACCTAGTAACAGACCTAACCACCTGGTGACAGGACATTAGAGCTTCAAAGGTGCCAATAATCAAACTAGCTCATATGAGCAGCCTATTTAAGCATATCAAAACAAGAAGCTAGGACACTAAGCAAACAAAATACGTAAATATAATAACATTGATGGCTCGGAGACAACAGTCAATATTAAATCACATAAAGAGGCAATCCATGATGGCTTCAGCAAGCTCCCAAAATAATCTAGAAATTTTCTAGAGGAGGAAAATTTGTTGGAATTACCAGAGACAGAATACAAAAGATTAATATAGAGAACTCTTCAAGAGATTAGGAAGGAAATTAATCAAAACGCAGGAAACGCAATAGAGGAAATTAAACAGAAGAGCATAATGACAAATTTAACAGGCTGCAAGAATCCATAGATAGCAATCAGAAATCCAGAAGATTAACAATAAAATTTCATAATCAGACAAATCAATAGAAAGTCATAGGAGCAGAATTGAGGCAATGGAAGTCAGAATTAGTGAGATTGAAGATAAAGCACTTGACACCAACTTATTCGAGGAAAAATCAGATAAAAGGATTAAAAAATGAAGAAATCCTAAGAATTATGTGGGACCCTATCAAGATGAATAACCTACGAGTAATTGGACTACCAGAACGGGGGGTAGGGGGATAGCAGAAAATACAGAGAGAATTGTTGGAGATTTGTTGGCAGAAAACTTCCCTGATATAGTGAAAGATGACACGATATCTATCCAAGATGCTTATCGAGACCCACATAAGGTAGATCTCAAAAGAAAGTCACCAAGACATAATCAAACTTGCCAAAACCAAAGATAGAGAATTTTAAGAGCAGCTAGGGATAAACAAAACGTGATCTACAAAGGAGAATTAATAAGAATAAGCTCGGACTACCCAGCAGAAACCATGCAGGCAAGAAGGCAATGGGATGACATATATAAAGACTTGAAGGAAAAGAACTCCCAGCCAAGAATTATATATCCAGCAAAACTGTCTCTCAAATATGATGGTGAAATTAGGTCATTTCCAGATAAACAGAAGTTTAGGCAATTTGCAAAAACCAAACCAAAATTACAAGAAATACTAAAGAGTCCTCCGGTTAGAAAATCAGTAACATCAGATAACAACCCAAGACTACAACACAGGACACAGCAACCAGATATCAACCCAGATAGGGAAGTCACAAAAATAAAGCTAAAACACTGAAAATAGGGAAACAGATGTCAATATGTAAAAGAAGACAACATTAAAACAAAAAAGAGGGACTTAAAAAATGTAGACATAGATTTTGCACATGGAGAGTAAGTCAAGGTGATATAAAGAAATAAAAGACTGGTATACTTAGAAAATAGGGGTAAATATTAAGGTAGCTACAAAGGAAACTAACAATCCTACACATCAAAATAAAAAAGCTAGAAAAATATAAAGACTCAGCAAACAGAAAATCAACAACAATGAAAAAGATGAAAAGAAAATACATAAAGAGACCTCACATTCAGAGAGTGTACATGCTGAGATTCTGTGACTGTAAGCCAACTTACCTTTCAGTTGTAGACTTTGGATAAATATCAAAATGTTATTTTGGTTTTTTTATATGTAAATTGTATTACACGTTTGTGTCTTGAAGTGTATTTTCTTATCAACTATATTTTGAAAGTTTTATACTTTTTCACATAATTCAGTTTGCTCTCATAGAAAATTTGATTTTAACAGGAAATTATAAGAAAAGTGAAAAATTACGCAGTATCCCACCACTCTTGCTGTTTTGGCTATTTCCTTTTAGCCTTCTTTGTATTGGAAAGCAGTATCTTTTTCTTACCAAGTCTCAATTATATTGTATGTATAGTGCTGTACTGAACATTTTTTCCATTGCTTCTGTCATTTATCCTCCGCAACTGTTGAGATCCTTGATTTACTGATGAGGAAACCGCACACCATCTCACAAAAATGCACCTTGCAAGTGATGCTGTAAGAAGTAGGGCTTGTCTGGAAGGAAGGTTCCTCTTTGGGGTTCATACGGACCCACAGTGTGACCTAGCACCAATGAAGCTTCTATCCAGCACAGACCCAGTACCTATAT